TTCTTTTTGTGCTGCCCTGAATTTTCTGCAAAGAACATAGCTACTTTTTTAATCAGAAAAAATTTTTTATAAATAAGTACGTTCCTGATATTAAAAAGTAATATAGGTTGTAAAAATCATAAATACAGTAAAGCCTGACTAAAATTTATATGGCTTTGTTTTAAATTTTGAGATAATTTAATAATTTTGACTTGTGCTGGGCTTATTTCACTGAACTTTAGCAACTAATGAAAAATGATGACCAAATTTATAATATAAATAAAATTGCATCACAACAATTGAGTCTTATAAACCTCATTTTGCATATAAGAAGAATGAAGTAACTTGCTCCAAGATTCACTGCTAGTAAGTGGAGGTTAGAATTTCAACTCAGCTCAGTTTTGTTGTAGAGCCTTCCCTTCTGTCAGCAGTGCTGTGCTGCCCAGCGTTCTTTTTCCCTAGGCCGCAGCCAAGAGGGGTCGAGCTCCCAACTCGGTGCATCTGCCACGCACGGTTTTCTGAATGTTGGCGTCAGTGGTCATGGCCAGACTGTGGTCCGGAGGGTCCTCCAGGGAGGGCACACTGAGTCTGGAGTCGTGACGGCTGTAGGCTTTCCATTTCCACTTGGAATAAACTTTATTGAGGTTGAAGTTAGTGTTAAAATATCCCTCTGACACTTGTTAAGACAGTGAGAAGGACTCTCTTCAAGACTTGAGTGGTGAGAGAGGTGGGCTCAAGTTCGAACACAGCACAGACACCGGGGGATTGAGAGCCTGCAGCAGAGGGAGGGTCGCTGGGACTGGAGGGCGGGGGAGCAGTTAGATCAGATCTTGAGGAGGGTCACATGTCAAGGGTGGGGTTACTCAAGCTGACTCAGCAGGAATCTGGCTAAACTTGGTAAGGATGAACTTGCAGCTCAAGGTGGAGGCCTGTCGAGAAGAGGGCCCAGGAGCCTGAGTTTGGTCAGGGAGAGCGTGTCGGCCAGTAGTTCCGCGAGTCCCGTGTGGAGGCCTCTGACAGCAGGGAGAGCAGCCTGGTGCAGCCGCCCGGACCACCTGCGGTGAACCGCAGCCCTGGCTGTGAATTCCAGTGAGCGCTGGGCAGTTGCCGTGTCTCGTGTGCTGGCCTGGGACACATGTTCATCCCTGAATTTTCAGTCCCTGTTCTTACCCTGCTGTGTTGAAAGGGTCCCTGTAAGTTCCTCTTTTTAGCTGAGGCTAATGGGGAGGAGAGGAGAGAGCAGACTTCAGATCCTCCACTTAAAGGTGTGAGGGGCCTCATGAGAGGGCCCAGGCCCTGGGCAGCAGGTTACCCCTGGGAGAACAATGGTCCAAGAGTCAGACACGGAGCATGGAAAAAGAGGACTGTATGTTCTTCACTGAATCCTGGGACATTGTCCAAGAGATTCTTCCAATATTCAGTTTTCTAACAGAAGGTCCCTCTCTGTTTTACTTTGCTGTTTACTCTTCATGAGAGCTCAAACACTGTGATGTTACACGTTAACTTGTAGATTTTTGTCTTGTAGAGACATTATTTCTGTCTGATAAAGATCTATCCAAAGGTTATGGTTCTATTTCTGTAGGACATTAACCCAATTCGTCTCCAACTTTAAAAAGCTCACTTTGGTCGGCCAGCTCTTCAGATGCGCTCGGAACTGGCTTCCTGTCTTACAGTTTCTTTCATTAATTTATATTTGCATGGGTTATGTCTTTTCACCTTTGAACATTATGCCTTGACACCTTTGGGATGCTGGATGTGGCTCAAGGTGGCCACAACTGCTGGTACTGGTTGCCTACAAACACTGCTCCATGGGGGGCAGGGTGTGTGCCCTGGGCTGTCCATGGGTCCACTGTTGCTGTGTCCAGAGTGACTCTCCATGTGTAGCTTTTGACCCCGTTCTCTCAGTGGCAGATAGGGTGCATATGTGTTTTGCTGCCTCTCTCTTCATTTCTCCAAGTGTTTGTCAGTTGAAAGACTGTGAATAAAGGAGCTTCTGGGCTTCTCCTTCCTCTTCTCTCCAGGCCTCATTTACTGGTAACCCAGTACATTGGGATTGGTCTGGATGTAAGGAGAACAGAGCCATTGCTAGGAGCGAGGCCTCCTCCCGTGTCACACACTCTAGCTGTACTTATGCACCTGCTGCTCTTTCCTAAAATCTCCTGCACTGATGCTTTGTTTCCCAGACCAGTTTGTCAGCTACTCAAGGGCAGACTCTACTCTGTACTCTTTGCCCACAGTTGGAGTCTATAAACTTGTCGATCCCTGATTTCTCTTTATACACTTGCCCTTTGATGCCTTTTTCTATTTATTCGTTCACAAGTGGTTGCCAGGCCCTCATGTGCCTGATACTGTGCTGGGTGTTAGGGATCTGACAGGGTGACATCTTCTGCCCTGAGGCCCACATTAATGCACGTGACTCCCAGACTGTATTTTGGGCAGTGGGACTCCTACCTAGTGAGACATAACTTTTGTTTTCCAGGCAACAGTTATCTAGATAATGACAATTTCCTGTATAATTTGCAGGTAGAATAAATGAAATTTTGTATATGTGTGTGTATATATACGTATAATTTTACAATATATATATTGCATAATCATATATGTATTTGCAGTCATCTTAAAAACTACCTTTAGAGTATATGTTGTTAGCAGTAAAAGGCTTAAAAAAACAGAAGAAAGTTGTTTAAAAAGGTAATATCCAGATTTCTCTTTTTAAGCATCTCCTTTCACACCACACTGACTGCATTGATGGCGGGCTAACACTGCATTAATGCTTTGAAGAGCCGAAGTGCCGGAAGGCATCCTCTAATGCCCAAGTCCCCAAACCTTTGCCTATCCAAAATTGTCTTTGTGAATGCCATAGAAGAGCACATTGTAACATAACATTCCTGAGGTAATTTGTGATTCAAACTGTGAGAAATTGGCAGTGTGAAAGACAGGAAAAACCAGTACATGTTTAAAAAATAGTGAGCTTTTCACTACTGGGGTAAGCAAGGAGGAAAAACATTTGAATAAAATCAAAGCAGAGGCTGAGCCCGACTTCTTGCAAAATAAAGAGGAGAGTGTTTCAAGAAACTCAGTGTTGTCACTTGCAGTTTTAGTAGAAAAATGCTTGAAACAAAAATGTCTTTTTATCGGTGAGGGAAGGCAGCCAACGCAAATGTGGCAGAGCTGCTACACAAACGGGCCCACGTCTGTGAGGGGTGGGAGTGAAGGCGGTGCCGATGCTTTGCCCTCCTGGCTCCATCTCCCCGTGGGCTTGGTGGGAGGGTCCTCAGCACCCGCACGAGCTCGGGGAAAGAAGCAGGTCTCCTCCCGCCGTATAGAAAGAGTCCGCCTCCTGCTGGGTAAGATCTGCCTTGGATCCACTCGTCGTCCACAGACCTTGCCTTTTTTTTTTTTTAAATCCATTTTGGTATTTTGTACAGTCTGACATTGTGTTCTGAAACATATCCCCTTTCCACACCAGGCCCGGAGGGCCCGACTGGAGAACTGCCTTATGGCTGAGATAATCATGTTATGAAGTCCATCTCCTGCTTCACAAACACACCTTCCCAAGATGAACCCACTGCTAGCAATAGGTCTGCAGTGGTTTGGGGTATATGGATCCACTATGTGTAACAACTTAATGAGCAAGGCCTCACTCAATTTCAACTTAAATGTGTGCTATTTGTGTCCACTCAGTTTTTAGATATTCTTTATTATTAATGGCTATTAAACAGATAACTCCAAATTCTCTTAGGGGCAAGGGTTCATTAACAGGCAGCAAATTCTTAAAAGATAATCCACGAGGGGGCCTTTTCCCAGCCTAGTAATTTATTTACTGAAATAGGGCTTACAGTTTTTTACCCGCCAGGGTTGTTTTGAAGAGTGGAGACGTGTGCTTTGAGTGCCCAGTGCTGTCTGGCAGGAAGTGGGCACAGACAGGAGCTGTTACTGCTGTGCGTGGGCAGCTTGGGGCTGCTGCCCTCAGTCCCCAGCCTGGGAGAGGCACCATTTGCTCTTGTGCTGCTGTTTGCATAGTAAGGATACTTTTGTTTTGTTTTATCAGAGGACCGGAAGCCCTGATGAAAAGAATAGGCCGTTAAGATAAAAGATGTCTGACCACTGATGGGTGTTACTGGCTATACTACATCTTTTGTTATGTGTAAGGACATCATACTTATTACATAAAGGACTCTGCTTAGATTTTTTCCAGATTGTGAATTCTGATCCTTTGAACTATTTTGTGTGTTTTTACATTTTAGAATGGGCAGTTTTCCATCCAAAGTCAGTCAGTCACCACCTCAAATGTTGCTGCATTTGGCCTAGTGAATATTCATGTAGTTTCCTTTTTAACACCTTTATTGAGATGCACTTGATGCCCAGGAAACTGCACATATGTACAGCGTATGATTCGAGAGGTTGAGCATGCGTTCACCGGTGACACCATCCCCACAGCCAAGGTGGTGAATGTGTCCATCACCCTGTCTCCGCTCTGTCAGTCCCTGTCTCCTCCTGCCCCACTGCAGACGACCACAGGGCTCTTGCCACTGCGGGCAGCTCAGCTCTCAGTGGGCTAGGCTTTTACATAAGTGGGATCATGCAGTGTGCACTCCTTGGTCCAGCTTTCACTCAGCAAAATTATTTTGAGAAACATCAGTGTTGCACGTATCAATTTTACATTTTATGTTTTCAAAATTAACTTCTGTTTGAGCTGCTAGATGGGCAGTATTACTTCTTTGAAATTGTTAACCTGTTTTCGAACTTTGTTGAGAAATCTCTTGAGTAATAGTCTTAGTGACAATCTTAAAAGAGTGCTGCCCTGTGCTGTCCTGGTGGAAGTCCGACTCAGCACCTTACTCGCAGGCGCAGCCCCACGGGTGTGTCCGGGGAAGCCTCTTCAGGCTCCTGACCAGCGTGACGTGCTCTGTGTTGTGCTGGAGACAGAGAGTGAATGTTAAATATTGTCTGTGTTTGCTCTGAAAGGAGCCATATGTCTGGTGATAACGCCATAAGTACTCATTTCTTTTCCTTTCCAGATCCTTTCCAGGAGGTCAGTTATGGGTGTGAGAGGCTTACAGGGATTTGTGAGAAGTAGCTGCCCACATATATGTATGGTAGTAAATTTCAAAGAGCTGGCAGAGCACCACCGAAGCAGGCATCCTGGAGGGACTCCTACCATTGTGGTCGATGCCATGTGTTGCCTCAGATACTGGTACACGCCGGACTCTTGGATCTGTGGTGGCCAGTGGCGGGAATACTTTTCTTCTTTGCGAGAATTTGTGAAAACTTTTACAGCTGTTGGCATCAAGTTGGTATTCTTCTTTGATGGCATGGTGGAGCAGTCCAAGAGAGACGAGTGGGTGAAACGAAGACTCAGGAACAACAGGGAGATAGCCAAGATCTTCCATTATATCAAGTCCCACAGGGAGCAGCCTGGCAGAAACATGTTCTTCATCCCCTCAGGGCTGGCCATATTTACTCAGTTTGCTTTGAAGGCCCTGGGTCAGGAAACTCTGTGTTCGTTACAGGAGGCCGACTATGAGGTGGCTTCCTATGGCCTCCAGAACAACTGTCTTGGGATTCTTGGAGAAGACACTGACTATTTAATTTATGACACCTGTCCCTACTTTTCCATCAGTGAGCTCTCCCTGGACAGTCTGGACACCATCATGCTCTGCCGAGAGAAGCTCTGTCAGAGCCTGGGTCTCAGCCTGTCTGACCTTCCTCTTCTGGCCTGCCTGCTTGGCAACGACATCATCCCAGAAGGCATGTTCGAAAGCTTTCGTTACAAGTGCTTGTCTTCTTATACCTCTGTGAAAGAGAACTTTGACAAAAAAGGTAACATTATCTTAGCTGTAGCGGACCACATATCTAAAGTTCTTCGGTTGCATCAAGGTGAGAAGAAGCTGGAAGAGATGTTACCTTTGGGGCCAAACAAAGCTCTTTTTTATAAAGGAGTGGCATCATATCTTTTGCCAGGACAGAAGTCTCCATGGTTTTTCCAAAAACCTAAAGGTGTAGTAACTTTGGACAATCAGGTACTATCCATGAGTTCAGATCCTAAATCCAAGCAAGAAGCTCCCGTGTGTACAGACCCTGAATCCAAGCAGGAAGTTCCCATGTGTACAGACCCTGAATCCAAGCAAGAAGTCCTTTTGTATACACACCCTGAATCCAAACAAGAGGTTCCCGTGTACACAGACCCTGAATCCAAACAAGAAGTTCCCATGTGTACAGATCCTGAATCCAAGCAAGAAGTTCCCATGTACACAGACCCTGAACCCAAGCAAGAATTTCCCTTATGTACACACCCTGAATCCAGGCAAGAAGTTCTCTTATGCACACACCCTGAATCCAAGCGGAAATTACCTGTAGGTATGGACCCTGAATTTAACCTAGAAGCACCCCTGTGTACAAACCCTGAAATTAAACAAGAAGATCTTGTAAATATGGGGCCTGAAGTCAAGCAACAAATAACTATGGTTCCGGATCCTGAGATCTTGAAGGTATGTAGATGTGCCCGCCCAGATCTAACGTCATGATGGAAAGTGTACCCATTGATAGATTTGACAGTGAGTATTTATTGACTGCCTGCAGTGGTTAAGACAATGGGGTGGGGGGTGGGGGTGGCAGGCACAGGACAGAACCCTTGGAGTTTAGCTAGGAAGTAAGATACAATACATGTGAAAACCCACATTATAAACTCTGTCTCACGTTGTTACATCACTGTTACAGAGAGAGTGCTCGAAATTTGGAAGAGAGTAATCACTGTGGGTGAAGTAGAGAGAGAAGCTCCCAGAGGAGGGATAACTGAAGCCAGGCCTTCATGGGGCTGAGATTTGTTGTGAACAGGTGAAGATGGGGTCTGTGGGAGCGCCGGAGGGGTGGCCTGTAGAATCTCCCCTCAGGCACAGTTCTGGGACAGGTAGCAGAGGCATGGGGTTTGAAGGGCTAAGTAAGGAGAAAACAGTTGGAAAAGATAGACTGCGGCCAGATTGTGGATTTTGGTACATGCCATGCTAGGAATTTGGACGTAGTCCTGAAGGTAGTATAGAGCCTTGATAGTTTTTGAAGGAGAGCCACTGTTTATTAACTGCTTGCTGCATGTAGGATCTGTCTACGCGCAGTGCGTGTATTTTAGCTCATTGAATCCTCTCGTTCTCCTTGGGTTACAGAGAAGGTGCATGTCCACATGAATGCCCTGAGGCATCTCAGCAAGTGCAGAACCAAACATGACCACAACCTTTCATTGTTCTGGCATTGACTGTCACCATCTTGTACAAGTTAAAAACCTGGGAACCATCTCTCCCATTTTTCGTAACCAGTCTCTCCCAAGTCTTGGTACTTCGATCTATTCGGTGGATCTTACCACCCTAGGCCAAAATATCGCTTGTGTGAATGACTGCAGTCATCTCTGAGCGCTCTTCCTAAACAGACTTCTGCCCCTTCCAGTCCATTTGTCATGCTGCACACAGAAATAAAACCCTTATTTGCATTCCGTAGCTCTTAGGAGGGAAACAGTAACCGGAACAAGGCTGGCAGCCATCACCCAACCACTACCTGCAGCTCCACCTTTGTCTGCCCCTCGGCTGCTTGCAGCCTCGCATGTGCTCTTCGCCCTCCTGGACGGCTCTCCTGCCCCCTTCTGCTAGTCGATGCCTGCTCGGCTTTTCCACCACACACGCAGAGAAGCCCCCTGGCTGCCCACCCTGTGTGTGTGTGCCTGACGTTTGCAGCGCATGCCCCTGGAGTGTCGTATTTGGTTCCTGTCTTTCCTGCTAGATGGGGCGGTTCTGTGAGGGCAGGACCTTGTTTGTTCTTGTCATTGCCAAGCCCCTTGTCCTGTCCTGCTGTCTGTCTGGTAGGGGCTGCTAGTTCAGTCTCAGAGGGGATGTTCTCTGTCTCTTGTATCTTCAGGTTTTCTCTAGTGACTTCTTCCCTCCCTCCTGTACAACTGCAGGGGTTCTCCTGTCCAAAAGGTCTTTCCCCTCTTTCTCTGTTACATATATTGTAGCAGAGGAGCTAAGAGGTAGAAGGTGATACATGTTTTAAGAGAGTTGTAGGTGAAAAAGTATTAAGTTAAATTTATTCTACTGGGAAGCATTCTTAACTGCTTTTTAGAGGAAAAAGAATGTGGGGTGGACGTTGGAGGAAGGTTAGAAGTGGACCTCCACGTGGAGGTGCTGCCAGGCAGTGGGACATGAGTAGAACATGACAGCAGGGCACAGGTGGGCCTCAGCAGAGAATGAGGAGTCGTCTGATGAGGAAGAAGGAGAAGAGCGTGGAGGAAGGACAGAGAACTAAACCTGGGCTCGACTTGCATGTGTTCAGTTTGGTCGTGCAGGTGGCTCTCCAATGACACATCTCTTTGTAGTTGTTCATGGTTCCCAGAAGGCGTTCCTTGCTGAGTCTCCTTCGGTCATCGCACAGCTCTGTCGCTAGATGCGTGGGTGAGGACATAGGTGTGAAAGTGACATGGTCTGCAGTAGTCACACGACTAGCGCTTGGCAGACCCCGGCGTTGAACCCAAGCCTTTGACGCTTTCCAAGATCACCACTGCCTTCCCTGCTGGTCTAGAAGTTCATTGGCGCTTAGAGAGGTGACACAGTCGTGGTCGGTAGTGTAGAAGCAGGAGAGTGGAGGAGTGTGTAAGGGAACCCCCCTGCTCTGAGTCTTCATTCGAGAGGCGGCGGTGTCTGCGTCTCAGCCAGCCCAGGACTCTGACTGAGCGATCACCTGCCACATCCACAGCGCCATTCCAGTCCCTCTCTGCTCACTCTCCTTTGCTCTGGCCCCTGCCAGTCCCTGACTTCCGCTCCGGTCTCCCGTCTGTGTACACCTTGCACCTGTCCCGTCTGGGCTCCTCGTCACGCTCCCTGGCTCATCCGCCACACCCACCCCATACCCACCTGGGCTTCCGCTGTGCTCATGGGCGTCCTGGCCATCTCACCCAGTCTCCTGCAAGGGGAGTGCGGACAGGTTGGGTCTGACTGCCAAGGGTAGCACGTGTGTGCTGAAAGAGTTCAGGATTTAGTTCTTACACTCTTTAAGGAGGCATTGGCTATCAAGCAGAGGTGTGGTGAGATCAGTTCTTTGTTTTTTGAAACATTGGGTACACGGCAGAGAATGGCTATTGGCACATAGGAGGGTTGGGTGGCCTCAGAGAGCTGTGGTCTCCCAGGGGCCTGGGGGAGTTCAAATTACAGGGATTTGGGGAGCAATTTGGAGGCAAAAAAGGCAGGAGCTGGGGATGGGGTTGCTCTTTCAGGAAGTTTGGCAGAAGCCTGGGATGGGAAGAGGCCGGCAGAATCTGGTAGGCCTGTCTGCCGCTTGCGGGGGGAGGGTAAGGGCAGATAGTCTGCTGTTCCAGTGACACTCGCATTTACTGAGCTTAGTGATACCTTTGAAAACAATTTTGAAGTTTCTTAAGTTTCCCTTAATTTTTCCTTAAAAAATTTTTTGCAATGGAGTCTTCCAGCCCTGTCAATAGGTAACCAAAATTCAAATGTGTGCATTTTGACCACACATAGTCACCCTGGAAATCCTTAGGTGCAAAGTTGCTGAATGCAGCAATTACCTGAGTACATACCCACAACCACTGCTGTTTCCTCCAGAGTTACACACTGTTGGATAAACTGAATTCTTGCTTTAGAATATTCAGGTTAGGTGCATATGTTAAAGTTTTTCCAAGTGTGGAATGCTATATAATATCTACAGTTAAGGGCAGAGATAAAAAGATACTGAGGTGATGAGCTAATTAATGAATTAATATTACGCTTGTAGAGAACTTCTCTGAAAACCCTGTGTATACCCAGAAAAGAATGTTACATCTCAAATTCTGTAGAGTTGCCAAAATTGAAGATTTCTTAGTAGAGTGAATATAATTTATTATAGCTATATACATAACTTTGTCAAAATACTAACTCTTCTGAAATAAAAAAAGAGTAAGAAATGGAAGAGGGAATAGGAGAATAAATTAGAAGGTATTCTGCCTTAAAAGGATCATGAAATATCTAACCATATTGTTTCTGATAGATTCTGTATCAAAAGGGGTGTTATAGAGAAATAGGCTACTTCTAATGATCTTTGATTGGTTAGAGCATCAAGTAATAACTCTTTTGGAATCCTTGCTGACCTTAAAGTTGCTAGTTTGTCTGCCATCCTGATTTAAAGAAATTTTAGCCATGAGATAGACACTCGAGTATGTCCAGCCTGAGACCAGTACTTACCACCTATTGGCCATGCACTATGTGCCAGCCTTGTATATTAACACATTTAATCCTCAGGATAGTTCTGTGAGGTCAGCACCTTTGTTAAACCTGTTTTACATATGAAGGAAGTGAGGAGTTAAAGGGATTAGGACTCAAGTCTACAATAATGAATGGGCGTGACTGAGCTGCTTCACGTGTATGAATAACAACGGGACACTGACACACAGAGGTTTTGGTGTTCCAGGTTATTGGCAGAACATTTTAAGGGCCATTAGTGGTAGGCTGGATTTAAATTCTGAAGAGTAATCTAGATGAATTTATTCCTGCAGTAATAAGAATGTTTTTGCAGGAACATGAAACCTGTATGGAGGATATTATAGGCCGTCTGATCTTAGCTACTCATTGAATGAGAAAGTGGTATCCATTTAAATCATACATCTCATCACCTACCATGTGCTGCCACTGTGCTGCATTCGAAGTAGAAAGAAATGAGTGCCCAGTGCATAGTTGCTGCTCAATAAAAAATCCCTGAACAGTTGAATGAACGTGATGCAGTTTCTAATCCCAGGGAGTTTATGGTTTAATAGGAGAGGTAAGGCCAGGTAACCAGTGTAGGGTAAATGTGAGTTTGAGCCCATCAGGCCAGGGGTAGGTGAGTTCCTGCTCAAAGAGGATGACAGGGTTATGGAGAGATGACGCTTTAGGGGACCCTCAGAGGAGCAGAGACTGGGAAGTGGCTGGTTGGGAAGGGCTGAAAGAGGTCAGTTTTCCAGAGCACAGGGAGGATTCTTGCAGAACTGTGGAGATTGGGCCCCAGAGAGTCCACGAAGGGCAATGGTGTACGTGGGAAAGGAGATGGAGGCCTCCGCGGGGCCTCCCTTGAGTCTCAGGCTGAAGAATCTGTGGTAGCCGGCCAGATGCTTTGAGGAGGCATTGACTGGGCCTCTGTTTCCAGGAAGGCAGAGTATCGCTGGGATGAAGGGTGGCTTGGAGAGAGGAGACACTGGTGGGGGCGGCTGGAGCCCTGGGTAGCATCTCTCCGTCAGGTGGACAGGATGATGAATGACGGCAGGAGGAAGTACGACAAGTCTGGTAGGTGATTGGAAATTGGAGGAGGAGCAAGAGGAGTAATAGAAAGCTTTGAGCCAGAAGCCCAAAGGAAAGGAGGCACAGAGGCCAGCTTGACGTCATGAGTTCGAGTGACAGTTACTCTATTTCTGAGCCCTCAGAGGCGTTGGATTTCCTATTAAAGGTCACTGTTTTGTTTTCAGCGAGAAACCAGTTGCATTTAAATTTCCGGCAGGTCGCCAGAGCACATCACGTCCAGGCAGAGAGCTACTTGGTGTACAACGTCATGAGCAGCGGGGAGGTCGAATGCAGCAACAGTCTGGAGGATGCGATGGACCAAGCTCTGCCCAGCCAGGCCTTCGTCTACCGCCCAGTGCGGCAGCGGGTGTACTCCCTCTTGCTGGGGGATAGCGAAGGTGAGTCATGGTCTCGCAGTGACTGTGCTCGTGGACCTGAATTCTGAGAACTGACCAGACAAAGTAGAGTGCATTCTTTCAGGACTCGGGGTTTATTTCTCTGTGAAATCTGTAATGTAGAATGCCACTCGCATCTGTGCAGAATAAAGGGTAAATGCCTTGGGACGTCTATATCTAATTAGCAAGCATTTGACCAGTATTCATTAAAAGAGAAGTGCATTGTTTCTGTAAAATGTCGAGGTTTTTTTTTTTTCCGCCGCACAGCATATGGGATCTTATTTCCCCAACCAGCGATCGAACCCACGCCCCCTGCATTGGAAGTACAGAGTCTTAGCCACTGGACCACCAGGGAAGTCCCTAAAATGTTGTATTTTTATGCCTTAAAAGGATTCGTCCTTTTTAAAAAATGTGAAAACCCTTTCCTCCTGTAGGAGTGTAGGGTGTGTTTATTATTAGAAGACAGCGTCTAGTTACTCTCCCTCAAAATGTGAGTTTCGTAAAATGATTGTATATAATCATATATTTTAAAATATAAACAAAATTTTCCTTTGGAGTTTTTGTAATTAAGTTTATGTTTTTCCATCTGTATTTCAGTTTCACAGTAGGAACAAGAGGATAAGGAGAGGACTGTCCATGGCTAGGCCAGTAAAATTGAGAGGACCTTTAACACCAGGAATAAAATTAATCAGACCCTGTAACCCTCTGTTAGGAACAGTCTGGGGAAATTGGGAGTGTCGGAGAGCGCTCTGTAGCACAGACTAGTGATGCTTAATGCATGCAGTTACCTCCGTGCAAGGCCTTGCTGACCTGAGGCAGGCTGCTGGAACACCATGGTCTGATCGGATGGTGCTGGGATGAGAAACAGAGTCTGGCACACTACTATCAGGGCAAGGATTGAAGCAGAAAAGTCCTGGTGAAAGGATGTCTGTGGCCCATTTGCCTAAACTCCATTATCTCCAAACCTACCAACATTACTATTAATATTATTCCAGAAAGGAAACATTTACATAATCTAAAGGTGGTGATAGAATCATCAGATTGAAGTGTTGTGATTATTCTTTTTTTGGGCAGAAGGAGTGACAGGTCCTTTGTACCCAGATTTTATTAGATTCCCAGCACCACCCAGCATGTGCTGCCTTCTCCCATAGGTGCTGTGAGAGTTCAGACACTGATGTGGCCTAAGGAGGACATGAGAAAGATGTTTAAGCTGATTTGAAGACAGAAACAGAAGAACCTATGTAAACTTTGAAACCAAATATTATTGAAATAATTTTTCTATTTTTCTTATGTGGTTCTCTGCCCATATACTCTTTCTTAACATGAATGATGGCACATTGACTCCGATGATTAAAGAAAAGATATCTTCATCATGAAAAAATTTCATGTATTATTTTTAGAGTATTTTGTTAAATGAGGTTAAAATATATAAACTTCATAACTTAAATTTCCTACTTTGTTAATGCAATTTATTGACAGCCACAGAGATCACTTTATTAGATAACCACAATAACAGGAAAATTACTCAGATTGAACTTATCTTCACAACTGACCTTCACTCTCCTTTTTTCTTTCTCAACTTTTTGGCTTTCTACATGAAGTCTACATTGTTAGGATGTAAACGTAAAAAGCTGCTGTTGCAGGTTTATTTATAATGAATATAATAAAGCGTATTCTATGCTGTTTGCTTGGCTTGGCTTACTATTGCCCATGCACCTAAAAGAGATGTCTTTTCTACAGTTGAGCGTGGTGTTCTATAAAATGCCAGTATTGCGAAGAGGGCTATGAGAGTCTTCCACCGACTTTCTGTCAGCTTGTTCATAGTTTTTAAGAAAAGAGTGTTGAAATCTCCAGATACTGTTGTGGATGTTTTTATTTATTCCCTTCAGTTCTGTTAGTTTTTACTTCAGATGTTTCTGAGGTTCTGTTATTAGTGAATGGTATCAGACAAAGCTGGCTTTGTCTGATACTAGTATACACACCCCACTAGTATACACACCCCACTTTTCTTATGATTATGGTGTATCTTCTTTCTGTCCTTTTACTTTTAAACTATTTCTTTATATTGAAAGTATGTCTCTTTTAAGCAGCATATACAGTCTTTCAATCTCTGTCTTTTAATTAGACTGTTTAGGCCATTTACACTTAATGTACTTATTGACAGTACATGTAATGTCTTCATGGGTTTAAGTCTTCATTTTGCTCTTTGCTCTGTTCTTTCTTCCCTTATTTTCTCCTTTTCTGACTTCTTTTGGATCAGTTGAGTAATTTTTAGTATTTTGTTTTATATTGGCTTATTATTGGACTTGGATTATTAGATTTACCTGTTTTTGTTTGCTTGTTTTTTTAGCAGTTTTTATAAGGTTTATAATATATGTCTTTAATGTGTCACAATTTGACTTCCGTATCATATCACGTAATGTGTATTGTAAAAACCTTACAACAGTGTACTTGCATTCTCCCTGCTATTCTGTATATTTTTAAAACTTTTAAAATGATTATATACTCAAGGGAGTTGCAAAAAATAGCTCATAGGGTTTCATGTACCCTTTACCCAGCTTCCCCAAAGATGACATCTTATATAATAAAGTACAATATCAAAGCCAGGAATTTGACATTGGTACAGTACTATTAACTAGATCATAGACATTATTCACTTTTCAGCATTTTGTCCACCCATTCATTTGGTATGTGTATAGTTCTATGCAGTTTTATCCCATGTCAAGGTACAGGAATGGTCCATCACCACAGGGGAACTCTCTCATGCTGCCCTTTTGTACCCTGCCCTCTGTCCCTGTCCCCTGGTGACCACTAGTCTGTCCTCCAACTCAACATTTTGGTCATTTTGAGAATGTCACATAAGTGGAAACATAGTAGGTAACCTTTTGAGATTATGCATATGTTTTAAATCCCATAACACACGATTCTTATTTTTATTTTAAACCATGGCTTGGCAAACTTTTTTGTGAAGGACCAGATGATAATAAATATTTTAGGCTTTGAGGGCCCCACAGTCTGTAACAACTGCTGAGCCCTGCTGAGCCAAGTGCCATGGACCTACATCCAGAAGGGTGTGGCTGTGCCAGTGAAGCTTTATCTAGTTTTCCCATGTCACAAAATTTGAATTTTATGTCATTGGTCTGTGTCATGGAAAATTCTTCTTTTGATAATTTTCCAAGCATTTAAAACAATATGAAAAGCATCATTAGCTTTCAGACTGTATAAAAGCAAGCAAGCCAGATTTGGCCTATGAGCCAAGTTTTCCAACCCTTCCTTTGAACAGTCAGTTGTCTTTTTTTTTTTTTTTTTTTTTTATAAGAATAATTTATTTTTTTTGCTGCGTTCGTCTTTGTTGCTGCGTGCAGGCTTTCTGTAGTTGTGGCGAGCTGGGGCTACTCTTTGTTGCAGTGTGCGGGCTTCTTATTGCATCGCGGTGGCTTCTTTTGTTGTGGAGCACGGGCTCTAGGCCGTGCGGGCTTCAGCAGTTGTGGCACATGGGCTCAGTAGTTGTGGCTTACAAGCTCAGTAGTTGTGGCTCGCAGGCTCTAGAGCGCAGGCTGAGCAGTCGCGGCGCACGGGCTTAGTTGCTCCTCGGCATGTGGGATCTTCCCAGACCAGGGATTGAACCTGTGTCCCCTGCATTGGCAGGCAGACTCTTATCCGCTGTGCCACCAGGGAAATCCCAGTCATTTGTCTTTTAAAGGAGTTAATAGGTGAGATGAGGTCTTCTGTGTGCACCATTTCTGCTGCTCTTTTTTTTTTTTTGGTACGCAGGCTTCTCACTGTTGTGGCCTCTCCCGTTGCGGAGCACAGCTCCGGACGCGCAGGCTCAGCGGCCATGGCTCACGGGCCCAGCCGCTCTGCGCCATGTGGGATCCTCCCGGACCGGGGCACGAACCCGTGTCCCCTGCATCGGCAGGCGGACTCTCAACCACTGCACCACCAGGGAAGCCCTCTGCTGCTCTTTATTTCAGAAATATAATTCTGCTGGATGTAGAATTTTAGGTGTTTTTGTTGGGCACTTTCAGGGTGTCATTCTGTTGTCTCTGGCTTGTGTTTCTCATGAGTTGACGATGGTCCTTCTGACTGTTGTGTCCACAGGTTGTAAGTGTGTGTTTCTCTGGCTGTCCTTAGGGTTTCTTCTTGATTGCTGGTTTTCAGCCACTGTTTAAGCTGAGCTTTGGAGTCGTTTCCTCTCTGTTTATTCTGCTTGCAACTCTTGAGCTCTTTGGGTCCATTTCTATTCCCTATTGACTTAGAAAACAACATTTCATGAAACGGTGCTCAACTTTTTCTGTCTCTCTCTCACGTATCACTCTGGGCCTTCAGTTACGTGCCTGGTTCACACCTCACAGTGTCCCTCAGGCACCAAGGCTTGTTTTTATGCCTCTTCTCTCTGTGATTCAATTTGGGTCACTCTTGTTGTCATTTTCGCATTTCCAGTGTCTTTCCTCTGCAGTGTCTAATCTGCTGGTAACCCATCTGGTGAAATTGTCATTTCAGATATTGTGTTTTTCAGTTTTTTAAAACAATCTTCCATTTCTTTCTTCCCTGTCTTCATGTTTTCCTTTAAATCCTTAAACTTGTTCACAGTAGCTGTTTTCAAGTCCTTGTCTACTAATTCCGTCATCCCTGTCATTGCTGGGCCTGTGTCTGTTTATTGACTTTTCCTCCTTATAATGGGTCCACATATTTCTGCTTATTCTGATGTCCAGTATTTTTTATTGTATTCTAGAAGATTTTGGATCTGTGAAGGGTCTTGATTTCTGTCCTGTCGGGCAGTTCATTTACCTAATCCTTTCAGGGCTTGCCTTATAGGGAATTTCAGGAGGTAGAGTGGCCCTGCTCCTGAGGCTGGGCCTTCCTGGGCTGTCACCCTAGTGCCGGTGTTTGACAACGTCTCTGCACACTGGCCGCAGGGGCCCCTGGGTCGGGCAGCAGGGTTCCCCATGGTTGTCTTGTCTGGCCTCACTGAGCTTTGCCCTGGACCCACCAGGACCTCG